GAAACAAATTTATTAAAAATTGCATATGATCTTGGATATGAACCTATAGATGATCATCAACATAATATATGTGTTAATGTGATTTTCATGTGAAACATGTAGTTTTATATAAAAATTATTTTATAATGAACATCAACATAATAATTATTATTTTAAACATTAGCCAACCAAACGGTAAAAAAATAATACATCTGTTAATGTGATTTTCATGTGAAACATGTTGTCACGTGCATCATTAAACTTGTAAAAGAATATCCTAAAATAGTAAACAGTTTTCCCTAAACCGGAGTTGGGTAGAGGTGTACAAACCGGTTTTTTTTTTCGGACCGGTTCGGTTCAAGTCAACAAAATCAACACCAGTTCACCCTTAAACCGGTTCGGTTTCAAACCGGTTTACCATCAAATTTATCTGATCCTATACAAACCGGTTCACTTCAAACCGGATCATCTTAAACCGGTTCTTCGAACATGTTAAAAAAAACCCGGCAGAAATTGTATATTTTTTTGTTTGTTTGTTTTATTTTTTTGGGATATTATAGGTTATATATGTGTGGCCAATTGGTTAGAATTCTTGAATAGTTGACATATTAAAAAAAAAAATTTAAAATTAAAAAACCCACTTAACATAGGTATGTATGTAATGTGTATCAAATTTGGTTTGTGCATATCTATTGAATTTAGACTCATTTTGAAGTAATTTTCGTGGGTATTTTTTTTTTTTGGATATTTATATTGGAAGTATATAAAACATCTTCAAACATAAAAACATAAACATAAAAAAAACATCTTAAACATCTCGAAAAACCGGTTCATAATTGGTTCAAAAACCGGTTCATAATTGGTTCAAAAACTGGTTCGGAAGTCCGGTTCATTGTAAACCGGTTCGAAACCGGTCCCGTCGTTCGGAAATACGAATTGGTTCAAACCGCCGGTTCGGTTCGGTATCAGATCGGTTCTAGCTTGGATCGGTTCAGAGGTGAACCGGTTTTCGGTTCGGACACCGGTTCGGATCGTGAACTAGTTTTTTTGTGCACCACTAGAGTTGGGCCGAGTTAGGCTTTTATCCCACAAGTGGCGTTTGTGCATGGTTATAACTATTAAGTCCTATTGTCCTAAGTATGCATAATCCAATAATCCAATAAGATTCTGTATAATTACGATACGAATATATCTTTACAGAAAAACAAATACAAATTTATTGAAAAACAAATACAAATTTCAAAATACTTATATATTGAAACAAAATTATAAATTAAGCCGTTAAAAATTCTTTGAGTAAGCTAGATGGAACCGTTGTAAAATGACTAAAATCTGATTATTACTTTATGATATTACTATTTAAATCAATTTTCATGTCATTTAAAAAAATAAGCGTAGATTTTGTAACCAAAATAACAAATTTCTAATAAAAATTCGAAACTTTTACAACACTTGAAACAACTAAAAATGAAGTTGTTAAACATTTTAGAAACAGGTTGATTGACATGCATGTAATAGTAAAATAATGATAAATTTAATAGTCTATAAATTCGATGCTTTAAAATGATGTCATGTCTGATATTTCCATGATAATTTCCTAAACATTTGCTACTTAAAATGTTAATATATGCTCTAACTTGGCACTTGGGTTATAATCACATCTATCACCATCACTTCTCCAATGTAAATACTTCGCTAATCACGAGGAGCAAATATATATATAGATGGAATGCTTTCAGCAGTCCAAAGAATCGTATTAAAAATCTTGAACTTGAGTAAAATTTATAATATGTTAATGAAGAACAGGAGCAGTACAAAATTACATATTTTTGCGATGTTTTTGGGTTTAAATAAATGGTATCTTGGTTAAATATTGTTTTTATTTTATAAGAACAAGATAGCATTTAAATATTTAATGACTTTATAACAAACCAAAACCTTTTAAGGCTCATTGGATAACACTTGGGCATCCCATAGAGGAGGTTTCAAGTTCAAACTTTAGGAGTTTGAATCAAAGGGTTGATTAGTAGAAAGATATGCGACACAATATCGAAAGGGGCTGTCTTAGGTTTCGAATCGGACATAGTCATAGGTTTATAACAGTTAAATGTCCAAATTTAGAATGGGACATAGTCATAGGTTTAGAGGGTTTATCCTCAAATAATATAATTCTGATTTGAAATCATAGTCTACCCAAAATTGTTAAGACCGAGATCATATATAGTATTTTTTTTCCCGGTTTTTCAAGACCGTGTTTGTAAAATCGAACTGGGATCCAAAAATCCTACCGAAAATAGTTGGGTTAATGTCATAAAAACCCTCAAATTTTCAGGGTTTTATCAGTTTTGCCCAAAGTTGAAATTTATGTCTGTTTTTACCCAAACATTTTCGAAAAAATGTTTCGGTTTTACCATTTTACCGGTGATAACAGGTTTTCCAAGTTACCATTATATTAAATTCGCAAAAAAACCCTTAAGTTTACCATTTTTTTTTGCGTTTTTACCCTTAAGTTTATAATTTTTTTTACACTTTACCCTAAACATATTTTTTTCATAATATACATATTCATGCAGAAAAATCGTATTTTAATACGAAAAAATATATAATTAAATATTGTATTTATATTTTTTTAATATATATATATATATATATATATATATATATATATATATATGCTTGTGTGTATTTGTGTTTTTGCATGGTTATACCATTTAAAAAGATAAATAATATTTTTAGAATTAAGAATATGTGTTTTATAGATATAGTTTTTAGAAGTATAAATACATATTTTTACATTTTTATATATTAATATGTATCTATACTTCTAAAAATATATTTATACTTTAAAAAAAACATATATCAAAATACATATTTACACTTCTAAAAATATATGTATATACTTATATAAACATGTTTATGAATGAACAATTTTATTTATTGATGTGTATATTTTTAAATACATAAAAATACGTATTTGTAGTTCTAAAAACATATTAAATTTTTTTTATATCTTAAATGGTTTATCCAAGAAAAAAAAACTCATAAACACACACACACACAAATATATATATATATATATATATATATATATATATATATATATATATATATATATATATACACACACAAAGAATTAACATTAAATAATATAAATACAATATTTAATTAAATTTTTTTCGTTTATAAATATGATTTTTCTGCTTGAATACATATAATATGAAAAAAAAATACATAGGGTAAAAGTGTTAAAAAAAATTATAAACTTAAGGGTAAAAACATAAAAGAACTGTAAACTTAAAGGGTTTTTTTTTTTTTTTTTTTTTTTTTTTTTTATTTTTATTTACGAAGTTAATATAATGGTAACCTGTTATCATCGGTAAAAGGGTAAAACCGAACATTTTTTGGAAAATGTTAGGGTAAAAACGGACATAAAATTCAACTTTGGACAAAACCGAGAAAAACCTGAAAACTTAAGGGTTTTTATGACATTAGCCCCAAAATAGTTTAAAACATGAAAAATATATTTTAATCCATCTATTAACTATTCAATTCAAAATAAATATTCTAAAACATGAAAATTCAACACTTAACAATAAATAATACATTTCTAGTACATCATGTAATAATAAATAATTTAAAAGTAATTTTCATGATTTGATATTTGATTCACTTGGTATGAGTTATGCATATGATCATCGTAAGTTGCATTTCCTACTTATATCATTTCGTTTGGTGAAACTTGTTATTATTTAATGAAATTGATCATATAGATATGGGATTGTTTATAATAATAATTTTATTTGCAATAAAGGATACGTTATAGATCAAGTCAAACTAAGAAACTATATCAAACAATTCAAATTACTTGTAAATGAATTAATCTTGATAATAATATTAAAAAGCATGCGTGAAATTTTGAATTTGGAGGTTCAAATTTGAAATGTTTTTAACGAGTTGTAAAACTAGGGTCTTCTTTAAAATAGCTTTCACGTTTAATTGGAATCTAACCTTTAAAGGGACACTTGTCTTCGCATTTGCTCTACCCATTTCTTCCACTTCTGGCTTTGACGACATTAGCAATAGAAGATAATAATATCTTAGATATCGTATACGTTTACCTTGAAGCAGTAAACGTTATTTATTATGGTTCTAAAAACAAAATTGGTTTTTCGTGTTTGACTAATTAATTTGCTTGTGAAAATAACAAAAACACCATAATTTACAAAGTTCGATGATTTTGAATGATCTTTGAAATTGTACATTGTGAAAAGAGTCATTTTATATTTTATGCTTTTATCTCTTTACATGCTGGAAATTAATCAGTGAAAGGTGGGACTAATTGCTTCGATAACTAAATAACCAAAAATTAATTATGTTTTTGATAAGATTGTGATTCGATCTTAGTTTTTGTTGGAAAATAGAAGCTCTAAGATGAACGCTCAATCGTAGTAGTTGTTTACAAAACTCAAGTTGAGTTATTTTTTTACTTTGCAACATTTTATTTCTAGCTCATTGTTAGTGGTTAATAAAATTTAAATAGTCCAAAACATTAAAAAGATCGTGTAGCACTTATAGTCTCATGCACAACAACATTAGGCGAAGTACTATACGCTCACAATATTAGTAAATCCAAAAGTGAGATATAGAGTCTTGATCACAAAAAGATAAACAATAACCCCCACCTATACCCATGCGTAATCATTATGACATTATGCTAATATAATGTTCATATATAACATCCTTAAAATAAATATTATGGATTTTAGATGTAAATCACAAAATTTATAATGCTAGGGGCAAGTTTGTACTTAAAATGAAAAAGAAATAGATTAAAATAAATTAACACACCTCTCACTCTTGTACCTTCATGCAAAATGCATGGACCATCTTGTTGAACGTCCATAGGCTAAGCATAAAAGATTATTAAATGAGTGACGTAATTGTCTTTATCGAATAGTACAGGGACCTAATTTGTAATTTAGCAAACTCAAAATGTTGCCACAACACTTAACGGCTGTCAACTCAGATCGGAACGGAACTACAACTAACAGATGGTTCCTATAAAACCCGCCACATTCCCCATCATCTCCCTGGTTTTCTCCGGTCATCGTCCTCACGTCACTCATTACACACATAAAAACCAAAAGAACATCTTAACCACCGCAAGTTACCGATCAATCAACCACCACAGTCAGGAACCGCCGCCGTTGATCTCATCTTCGTCGGCGCCTCAATTGACATCGTCAACAAGGGTGTTGAGAAGTAAGAGGAAGATCATGGAGAATACGATTGATAACAGCTACATTGTTGGCACTTTCTTCGTTTCCTTTTTAGGTTTTGTTGGTCTATCGGTTCTAAGGCGCCGTATCAGCTACTCAGTACCTTACTCTAAGAAGAATGTTTCTGGTAATAACAACAGTTTTAAGAATCGGAGTGATCTGACGCGTGGAGAGTTCCATCACCGATATGGATCTGCAGATGCTGACGTCATAATCGTCGGAGCTGGTGTCGCCGGTGCCGCCCTTGCTCATACCCTTGGCAAGGTGAGATTCGATTTTCACTTTATTGAATATTAATATTTAATTTTACGTAGCTATTTGTTTCTTTGCTGCTGATCCTGATGTGATTTGGAGAGATGATTCTTAATTTATTATCTATTTTGGATTTTGGATTTTGGATGGGTATGACGAGGGTAGAAAATAATTTATTCATAATTTTCTCGAAAATCGGTGATACTTCCAATGAACATTTTCCGATACAAAAGTTAATTAGCTGTTACATTCGGTTCATGAACAAATTTCAAGCTCACAAGCCATCAGCCGATTGTGATATTCCCTATATTTTGCTGTTTGAATCTTGGTGCATTCGATAAGGCTGAGAAAGAAGTTCCTAAATCAATCTTACCTTCAAACACTAATAAGTTTCAACATCTACTTTATCCAACTTGTAATTTCTATGATCCAACCATGTATATACATATATATATTATCAAATTTTGGAGGAAAACCATGACACAATCTTCAATATTATAACTATTGATATCAAAGTTATTGATCTTTGAAGCACACAGAAACTTCGTGCAACTTCTGACCATTGAATTGGATGAATTATTTAATCACTAATTAACATCACTACTATTAGTCTAAACATATCTTCTTCAACTGGCTATAACAGGAAGGACGCAAAGTTGTAGTAATTGAGAGAGATTTAACAGAGCCAGACAGAATCGTAGGTGAATTGCTACAACCAGGGGGATACCTTAAGCTAATTGAACTAGGTCTCCAAGGTAATACATATATTCTCTACCTACCATTCATCTATCACAATATAAACTCAAAGAAAACGACTCAATTTTCTTATTGCAAATGCAGATTGTGTGGAGGAAATAGACGCTCAAAGAATACATGGATATGCACTTTTCAAAGATGGAAAAAGCACCAAACTATCTTACCCCCTTACAGAACTTTCATTCAGACGTATCTGGTCGAAGCTTTCACAATGGACGCTTCATACAAAAAATGCGACACAAAGCTGCCACTCTCCCAAAGTCAGTATCAATTTTCTTTAATTTTTTAATTTTTTCTTTCTGTACATCAACATTTTCATTAAACATTCAGTGTAAAACTGGAACAAGGCACAGTAACATCTCTTCTTGAAGATGAAGGAACCATTAGAGGCATTCAATACAAAACCAAATCCGGTGACGTAATCAAAGCATTCGCACCTCTTACAATCGTCTGTGATGGCTGTTTCTCTAACTTGCGCCGATCACTTTGCAAACCACAGGGTATGTTTTGACTTTTTGACTTTTTACCAGTGTTTACATTTTGTCAAATTACATTTCTACCCTTCTAAGTTCCATTAAGTGTAGGTTGATGTTCCTTCTTGCTTTGTGGGTCTTGTATTGGAGAACTGTGATCTTCCATATCCAAATCATGGCCATGTCATCTTAGCAAACCCTTCCCCTATCCTCTTGTATCCAATCAGCAAAACCGAAGTTCGTTGTTTAGTTGATATACCGGGGAAAAAGCTTCCTTCTCTTGCAAATGGTGACATGGCAAAATACTTAAATTCCATTGTTGCCCCTCAGCTACCCACTCAACTCCATAACGCTTTTGTGGGTGCTGTTAACAAAGGGAACATAAAAACAATGCCAAACAGGACCATGCCAGCTGTTCCCGTTCTTACACGTGGCGCACTTCTAATGGGTGATGCTTTCAACATGCGTCATCCGTTGACAGGTGGCGGGATGACTGTTGCACTTTCTGATATTGTTGTGTTACGTGACCTTCTTAAATCGTCACGTGATTTTACCGATGCTGACTCACTTTCCAAAAACATCGAATCGTTCTACACGTTACGTAAGGTAAGACGATTAATATTTGTAATTAGTGAAGGAGAAGAAGGGTATTATTGTAATTTTTTACTTTATGTATATATTTATGTAGCCGGTGGCGTCTACGATAAATACGTTAGCGGGGGCTTTGTATAGGGTGTTTTGTGCTTCTTCAGATGAAGCGATGAAGGAAATGAGGGAAGCTTGTTTTGAGTATTTGAGCCTTGGAGGTGGATGTGCAAGTGGGCCGGTCGGGTTACTTTCTGGGTTAAACCCGAGTCCGGTTCAATTGGTCCTTCATTTCTTTGGTGTAGCTGTATATGGGGTTTTTCGTCTTTTACTACCTCTACCCTCACCTAACAGGCTATGGATCGCAGCCAGGTTGATTTTGGTGAGTAATTATTATTGGAAATTTGACATATGTTTAAGACAATTTTTTTTTTTAATGAAAGGATTTTTTTTTTGGGAAAATAGAGTGCATGTGGGATTATTTTTCCGATTATTAAAGCGGAAGGAGTGAGGCAAATGTTTTTTCCGGCTAGTTTGCCGGCGTATTACAGAGGTTCTCCGAAGAAGGGTTTACAATGACATTTGGAGAAGATATTGGTTGAAGTCAAATATAGCTTAGATTAGAAATCATGTTCTAGCAATTGTAAATATTGATTTGTGTGAGTATTAATTGTTTAGTTTGCAGTAACAGATGTAGATGTATAATATAATGTTGGAAATTGAAAATGTTCTCGTTTAAAGAAACTTCTTATTTTTGATCCCTTGCGGATCCTCTACACTTAATCCCTCACGGATTTTTGCAGGAATCATCTATCTACATTCTCCAAAGGAATTCATCAATCATCATTCCTGAATGAATCATTTTTCTACTTTATAATAATCTTTCATGTGAATGCTATAACATGTCTCATAACAATCTATCTCATGTCTTCACTAAGAGATCTTCAACTATAACTTAGTACTTAACTCAGTAAGTACTTTAAATCTTTATATACTACATATAGGTATTCACACAATACCCGTGACATCTAACCATACCTCCAAACTCAATCTTCATCTAATCTATGATGGTTATCTAACACAATACCATCAATATCTAACCATACTTACATACTCTATTCTTAACCACACATACATATTGTATCTTCCAGCCCACATACCTACTTTATTCTCAACTAAACATATATACTATATCTTCCATCCCACATACATATTGTATTCTCAACGATACATACACACTCTAAGCATACATATAATCTATCCCCATCTAACTTTTTGAAGGTATTTAACATAATACCTTCTACATTTAATCATACCATTCACATTTTATCTACACTTAGTATACCTTGGATATTTAACATAATACCTTCTACATCTACTTATACACACATAATCACGTGTAAGGTTTAGTACATATAATCAGACTCTATCTTGATATATGAATCTATAGGTATTAAAGATAATACCTTTAACATCTAATCATGCATACTTAATTATATACAAGATTACAACTTATATAATCACATTCTATCTTCACCTGCTATCTTGTCTTGTGGGTATTTGACACGATACCATAAACATACAAGCATGCATACATAATAACATAAAGGCATAAAGACATGCATACATAATCTAGAGAAAGAGTGAATTATAACTCACTTTGTTATTTAGTGAAAGCTAACTACCCTTAGCTACAATCTTTAATTGATGGGATCTTGATCCTTCTTCTTTGTTCAAGGCGTATTCATACAACACATCAAGTTTCTTAAAGCTTTTCTTAGCCTATTAAGAGATAATCTACTCTCTATGTCAAAATGATCACTTAGATGATCATAAGTCCAACAACTCACTTTCTGTGTCTAAATCTATTCCACCCAATTAATTGAGCATCCCATATTACATAATTCATTACACTCTAATCTACTGCATCAATTTACCACTCTCATTAGTTAGGATTTCAAACCTAACTTCACATATATGGATTTCACAATGAAAATCACATACAAAGCTTGTTCAAAGCTTTTAAACACTCCCAATAACATTATAATCAAGTTATAGGTTGGTCAACTCAACAATTCTAACCAAACTAATAAATTCACCATTAATGCTCAAAGCTTAATAAAATGGATAAATTTTACCTTAATGTGGAGAGGATGATAATCATAGCAATCCACATTCTTTGTCTTCTCTTGGCACAACTTTGGCATTAAAAGCGTCATCTCCAAGCTCTCCAATCGATTCCCTAAAGAAATGATCGAAAATGAGCTTTTAACAGGTTATAAGTTTTGTGTTGACCTTGTAAATGTGCCAAGGTAATCTGTTCACTGAGCTGTGGTGCATCTAAAAAGGTCGCGGTCTGCCTCTTGATGAGCCGCGATGCTTCTCCCAAATAGCATCCTAATTTCGCCACCACGCTGTGGTACCCATATACCATGTTGTGGTGCAAAGTATATTGTCATCTACTTATGAAGAGACTCTCGTATGAATTACTGCTTCACCTCACTATGCGATGGCAAGTTCTTCACCACGCAACGGTGGTTGTATGACAATAGCCTTCATTGTTGATTCCATTCCAACTTTAGGGACACTTTTCTTCCAACTTCTAACCCTCATAACTTCTTCATCTTAAACCCATTTTCTCTGATCTTTATATCCATGAAAATATGGAGATGAGTTCTACAAATCCATTAAGTCACTTAATATGGGTCTTATTTTGTTAAGTTACAAACTTGGCCCAAAAGATTAAAATTCTCATTTTACCCTTTATGGCCAAAATGCATCATCTCTTGCATTTTTATTCCTTGAACTCACTTAGTTTATCTTATAAATGTGACTCAAGCTTATCTTGGTTAATTTCATGAAGTCACAACTTCATAAACTAATAAAATTCTTAATAATGACCAAATTGCCCTTTTGGTCAATATTTGACTCAAAGTCAAATCTATCTAAATTTTGGGTTCTTACAGAGAGATTATGGTCAAAGACTATGAAAGGATTTAGGGTTACGAGATTAGAAAAGATATAAGATTTTTTTTTCAAGAAAGTAGATCTGATACTAAGATACAAAATAATTTTCCATGAATCCTTTCTCATTCCATATGGAAATATTTATTCACAAAACACAAATAGAGTTTAGGCTATCAACAGTATGGGTCGATTGCTATAAAATACAAGCACACACACACACACACACACACACATATATATATATATATATATATATATATATATATATATATATATATACAAATGTGGGTGAAAGTAACATGATGATGTAACTCGGTTTCGAAGTAGAAATTTTTTGAAGGTACCATTGTTGATGTTGATGTCCATCAACAACAACAATAACATGTGTCAAATCCCATATCCATTTCATAGCGATTATTTTATAGGAATTTTTCGACATGAAAACAATGAGAACATGTTCTAAAATGATGGAGAAAGGGTAAGTCAATGCAAGCACTATACAAAATGCTTGTAAATAAAACATATATGGATAATATAGCGGAATGGAGATAGATACAAAACTATTTAAAATAAATATAATTAATAAAGGGGGTGCAAACGTTAAACGAAAGGAACAATCTTACAAAAAAGAGGAACGAGGACTTAGGATGCCTACTTTTATGATTGTAAGTCTCAATCCCTTCCGTTTTGTGTAACTTCATCATTTCCAATTCGTTCTAGGATGTTATCTTCTCCATGTACCATCCACATTACTCATCTCCACAATCTTAATTAGAGACGTTCATAGATAATTTACACTTGTCCATTTCCAATCTTACTTCCCTCTGTTTTTTTAGTAATCAACCCCACTCCCAATGAACTTCCTATTATCAAATTTAAAATCCATTCAACAATGTTTTATTGTATATCAATAATAACATCCTAATTTACCTAACTTACATCTTTATCCGATACCCCTTTACTGGAAAATATTCATAATTATACAATATAATACTGTCATGCTTAAGCAATTCCCGTTCACTTTCAATGTGACCTTGTTATTCATGTTTTTAATTTGCTAACATGTTTGAAACATTAACATAGATCAGTTATATATTAAATAACAATATCGTCATCAACAATAACAATGGGTTAAGGGAGGTAGATGTCGATAATTATGCATCTATAGAGGGTCAAATGACTACTTCACATTGATAACATCTGATATATTCCAACGATAGATTGTAAATCATATGAACAAGGTGAATGTTAGTCAAAGTGACAAGTAAGACACAAATATGAGAAAAATCATAATACATAAATAACGATTCAAGAAGATGCAAACGAGAAAAACAATGGGGGAATAAGTTAATGGGAGCAGTAAAAAACAAGACTAAATCAGGTACAGTATATATATATATATATATATATATATATATATATATATATATATATATATATATATATATATATAGAGAGAGAGAGAGAGAGAGAGAGAGAGCAAGAAACAAGAAATGAGGAATAAATACCATAATACAAAATATTAAATGGGTGAGACTACTCAGCTAACCCAATGTTTAGCATCTACACCCTCATACCTGAGACTTAGAGCAGGCTCTTCCATGTCAAGCCTTGCACTATCACATCACTTCCTTTAAGGATGTTATCTCTTCCTCAAACTAGGAATGACCATTGACTTTACCCTTTTTACCGAGATGGTGGTGACCTCATATGGATATGTCCATAACACCTTAATTGATTTCCCTTAAAATTTTAATGATCCATGTCGCTCCAATAAAGTTATACCACAACTCTACCTCGATATCCTTATTTATTCTACTTCCATCTTCCTCTCGTAGTCCTTCTTTGTTGGGAAATATTCATATTTGTATAACATGATAGACCTATTAACTACCTTTTAAAATTTATCCTTCATTTTGAAAGGGACCTTCCTATCACTCAAGACTATCAATGTCATCTCCTACTTTGCACAACCTGTCTTTGTGTGATAGGTGATGTCTACTTTTACACCCATCCCTAATGGATGATAGACCCCATATACTAGAACCTCTCCTACATGATAAGAGCTTGATCCCTTTAACTTACATATACTCCTTTATTATTTGATTCCCTATTAAAATTACACCAAAGATACCTCATTTTAACAATGTTAATCTATAACTCTTTCTCATCTAATTTCTCTCTCCATATGCCTAAACAAACATTTAATTCAACTCTATACTTGGCCACTAAGGCAATGTCATTGGAAAAAAGCATACACTAAGGCTCTTCCCTTGGATCTTGGAAAAAAATGTTGTCTAAGATCAAGGTAAAGATATAAGGGGTGAGAGCCAAGCCCTGAAGAAGCATGATTTCAACTGAAAATGACATCTTGTCTCTAACAAAGATCCGAACACTGGTTGTAGATCGACATTACATATCATGAATATCCATGATATAGCTATTGAGGACCCTTATAGGCTCCAAGGTCCTTTATGTCTCTTCTCAAGACTATTATACGTCTTCTGTAGGTTGATGAACATAATATGGGTATCCCTATTTATTTCTTTATATTTATCTATAAAATGTCTAAGGAGGAAGATCACGTTCTTTATTAACCTCTTGTAACATCCCAATTTTTCATAACATTTTTTTTTCATTTTTATAAAACAACATTTCATTTATTCGAGACAATCACCAATGTTTTACATTTAAAAGTCATTTATCTTATTTTGGAATACATGGAAAATAGGTTTCCAATGCGTGTGTACAGTCGAGCTTCGCGCTTCTTATTATCAGATGGAGTACTTGAA